GCTTAGACGAGACTTTCTCAATTGGTTTTGCATCATTGAAATAGTATTTGGCATCATCGAAATGAGTTTCAGCCTCCGTAAAAGGTTTATCATCACCAAGCACAGTCTTCACAACGCCATTTTTGCAATATTTGAAGCATTGATGCCATGTGGACGGAACCACGCCATTCTCATGAAGCCATGGACGACCAAGAAGCATGTTGTAAGAAGTTTTTGCATCGATGACATGAAACATTGCAGTTGACTCCATATCTTCCCTTAGTAACCTCAACCTTATGATGCCAAGAGCTCTTTGCCCCCCTTGGTTAAAGCCTTGAATCATCAATCGACTATTACCAAGTTCTTCGGTAGTCATTCCTAGCTCTTTCAGTGTACGAAGAGGCAAGATGTTGACTGCTGATCCTCCATCAATCAATATTCGGTTCACCTTTTGCTCTTGCACATAACCGGCCACGAATAATGGTCTGTTGTGAGGCTTAGAACCAAGCAGCAGATCTTCATCAGTAAAGACCATCATGGAATCATTACCAACATGGGGATTTTCAGCCTCGGGCAGATTGTTTTCTTCTAGTGGAGCTTCATGCTCATTCGTCATGTTGCAAGCTTCGTTTATATGATTAGCAGTTGCACTACTTTCTTCAAGTGAGATTTTTCCTTGGTGTGTCAGCTGCATAACCTTGTCCTTGAATACGAAGCAATCATGAATTGGATGCCCTACAAGACGGTGATATTTGCAATATTTTAGATCGTTCACCCTGCTGGCTTCTTCAGGACGCTTCATCTCGGGTAACTCAATGAGTTTTGCTTCCATCAGATCGTCAAATATGCCAGAGACGTCTGAATCAAGGAACGGGTATTGCTTTGCTTGCATTTCTTTCAGAGTCAACCTTCTTTGTTCAGTTTCCTTGGGGACGTTCTTCTTTTCAATGGCTTTATCAGCAGCTTTTCCTTTGAACTTGACAGGCATAGCATTGATCGTCACGGACTCCTTATTTTGAGATTTTGAGGAAAATTTGCCCCCTTTCCTTTGCTCATATCGATCCTTGGAGCTTTGGGGTTCTTGGATTGGAGGACCATTAGCTCCGCTTGCAGCCATGCTTAGCTCCATGTCGTGGGCTCGAGTCGCTAACTCTTCGAATGTTTTCGGCCAAATACCTTGAAGGATGTAACGAAGACCCCAAGTCATACCTTGAATGCACATCTCAATGGCAGAAGCCTCAGACAGACGATCCTTGCAATTCAGACTTAGGTTCCTCCACCTATTGATGTAGTCGATGACTGGCTCTTCCTTCCATTGTCGAGATGTAGTGAGCTCGATCATGCTGACCGTACGTCTCGTGCTGTAAAAGCGACTAAGGAATTCGTGCTCCATTTGCTCCCAGCTATCGATGGAGTTTGCTTCTAAATCAGTGTACCAGTCAAATGCAACCCCTTTGAGGGAACGAACAAACTGCTTCACGAGATGATCGCCATGGGTTCCCGCATCATTGCATGTCTCAATAAAGTGGGCTATATGTTGCTTCGGGTTGCCTTTGCCATCAAAATGTTGGAACTTGGGAGGTTGATATCCAACAGGCATCCTCAAGTTATCAATCCTTGGTGAATATGGCTTCACGTAGCTGTGGGTTGACTTGGAACCACCATCAAGTTTATCCTTAATTGTCCCCATGATGAAATCTTTCAGTTGATCAATGGGTATCATTCCCGTGGACGAATGTTGGAATGGAGTCTTTTCTCTTTCGTTATATTGCTCTTGCTTGGACGTCTCAGACTCTTCGTGATCTTCAGTTCGTTTGTCCTTCGCGTGGCTTGTTTCAGCATTGTCGACCTTGTCCATTAGCTTCGAGATTTGAGAGTCTTGCTCTTCGACCTTCTTTGCGAGCCCTTCAATAACCTTTGTTAAGCTTGCGATGTGCTCTTCAAGAGTTGAAGCATCGGTTGTCATAGCCGGAGCGACACTTGAGCTTGATGAAGAACTTGATGATGAACGAGGAGTTGAAGAAGCAGAGTCGTCTTCATCACCTTCGTGGGTAAGATGCAGCTTATCACTTCCAATCACCTCTTGCAAAGGAGCCGTCTCCGAAGATGCTTGCAGTTGCTTGGCCATGCTTCTTGTAACGACGCCGAGGTTGGAACTTGAGGAACTTGTTGAAGGAATCTTGACTACGACAATCTTGCGGCTAGTCATGATGACTTGAGGAACTTTGGAGAAGAGATGAGAGGTAGAGATGTCCCACCGGGCGTGCCAAAAATTTGTAACAACAAATTTCGTGAATTGAATTTAAAAACACGAAAAATATTATTCAAATGAATTTCTTGAATCAAAATAAATATTGCGGGTTACAATCTCTATTATTCCTCTGATTCTTCTCACAAACAATATTTAAGTCTTGGAGCGAAATCTTCGGCTTGATCTTCTCCTTGACTTGATTTGACTTGATTAACGTAATCCGAGGGCTTGAAAGCTTTTTCCCGGATCAAACGTCGAAATATCCCAAGAACGCGAAGAACACGAATCCTGGGTCTTCGTCGCAAAGTTGATCTCGAATCTTCTTCACGCCGGATTTGAATTTACTAACGTTATTCGGAGGCTTTGCAGCTTGTTTCCGGATTGAACGCTAGTCTTGAGGTTGAACGCGCTTGAATCTTGCTTTGAATCTTCAAGAACGCCTTTGAATCTTCAAGAACACTTGAATCTCGTCGAGAGATCTTGAACTTGAATTTGAATATGAACGTAATTCGGAGGCTTCGCAGCTTGTTTCCGGATTAAACGTCGGTTTTGAGCTTGAATGCGCTTGAATCTTCCTTCGGGTCTTCAAGAACGCCTTTAAATCTTCAAGAACACTTGAATCTTGTAGAGAGAATTCTCTAGAGCTCTTGAACTTGAAAATATGAATTATGATGTGTTTTTGACATTAGGGAGAGCCCCTATTTATAGGTGTAGGAGAGAGCACCCTATCAAATTCAAGAATCGTAGGACGCGATTTGATTGGTCCATGATGATTCACATAAGATCTTTAAGATCTATTTAGATCTCCCAAGATCTTCTAGATCCACTTAAATCTTCCAAGATCTTCTAGAAGATATGATTTATTTATCAAGAATAAGTATTTGACACTTGGCATTATTTGATTGGTCAAGAATTAAAATATCAATTAATTAACTATTTAAGTTTAGGAATTAAATATGTGAAAATTCCTAAAATATAAATAGAAAATATAACTTGATTTTTAATAAATTAATTTTCACGTGGCGTGATTTGATTGGACACAATTTTTATGTATCTACACCTAGAAAAAATTAAATAAATTATAATAATAAATCTAGCCCAGTTGTAGTTAAAAATAATAATAATAAAAAAAAAACAATTCAACTAAATTAGACGAAAATACACAATCCAACTTATTTTTCACAAAAAAAAAATAAAATCAAAGAGAATGAACAGTGGAACAACTTGGCAACCGTTCCAAATAGACATGGCCAAGGGCCGTCCGGCCCGGCACGGACCTGGCCAGGTCAAACTCGTTGACCACGGGTCCGGATTGGACTGGATTTCTGACGGGCTGTGTAAGAGTCATCCATTTCATGACCGGGCTGGGTCGATAGCCCAATTTGTCTATTTTTTTATTTTTTTTCTATTGTTTAAAAACAAAATGACGGATACGGCCCAGACCTGGAACCAACCCGGTCAACCGGGCCATTGACCCTGCACGAGTATAGGTCCGTGTCGGGTCAGGGTCATTGTTTTTTAGCCCGGCGGGCCGGGTGTTTTGGCCATGTCTAGTTCCACATACCTCCACTCCGCTTCAAATCAGAGAGGAGAGAGCTTGGCTTGCACAATTCCACTTCTCATAAAAAAGAAACAATAATATAAACTAACTAATCTTATTTAGATATTTAATGGAGTGTTCATGTTTTTATTCGATTAGATACTCTCAATTAACTTGTCGTTAGTCCCATTCAGTATCCAGAACCTATCATAGGCAGTTCGTACAATCATTTGGGACTAAATGAGAACATATTGAGCTACACCAAATTAGCTAATACACTAAACAAGGCTGCTTCTCATTCGAGCATCGAGCCGGGAGCACTTCCTCGGCCCGCTTTTGAGGCCGCACACGCAATTCCCGAGCACCTCATAGTCCTCGTCCCAACACAATTTGGACGCCTTATCCGGGTTTTCTAACAGCAGTTTTGAGGTCAAGTAGCCAGCAACTGTCCATGTCTGGTAAAGCCGAGCCTGTTTCCCCACGAACCTCCCGTGCCTGGTGTCGTAGTATTCGGGCCAGTGATCGACCGGAAGCCTTTTCTCGGCTAAGTCCACTGCTTTTTGGGCCAGATCCAGTTTTCCCATCTTAATGCATGCCAACGTGAACTGAAATGACAAATGCCGATTTTTTCAGGCGAAAAAGAAAAGGTTAATCGAGCTACCGGATGATTTGATCGATCCATATGGGAATGGGATCCCTTTGCTGAGTTAATTACAGAAAGTAACCTTAACATTTGATCCAACTACAAATAAACTCAACTGGCTCTCGATATTAAGAAAAAGAAACCCCGGAACTATGTTGTTTCTGACATTTGCCCCTACATAGGCAAAAAATCCAGCTTCCGATACTCAATTTAACATTTTACCAAAGTTGAGAGATGTCTTGTAATTCTTCAAGTTGTGACATTTCTATTATCAGATCAAATTTGAAGGGTAATTTTTGTAGTTTCTTACTAATAAACAAACTGTCCTCCTTTTTTTCTTTTTCAATTATCAAGAATGACCCTGGTTACACATATCACTAAAACAGAAACAAACAATTCATTACCTGCCACAAAAGCGTCGGCCACGACCCGCCATTGTGATAAGACCACGGCCTGCACAAAACAAACATTCACTTTATCCAACAAATGCAGATAAACACACACACACACACACACACACACACACACACATGACACATCTTTATAAAGTATATAAAATCGCCTTACGTATTCTTAGGGTCACCACCCACAATTATCCGCCACTCCTCGTTTTCCAAAGCCGGGTAACAAATCTTGAGCGGCATTCGGCCCACTAAATCATCCCACTTCTCGTCTATCAAACTCATAATGCCTTCATTCTGTTCATGCGTGCCGAGAGAAGAGACCACCGACCAAATGTTCCCAAGCGTGAAGAATCTGAAGTCCATGTGAGCTGGCTGCAAGTTTCCCATGAAATACCCACCCGACTCAGGAATCCAGTCCATGAGCCAGCCGGGAATCTGGTCTGGGTAGATGTTGAACTTGTTGGCAGCCTCCGTAGAGTATTCCTCGGTTTTGTAACGGTAAATCTCGTTTATTTTGTTTGCCTCCACCCAATAGTACTCTCGTATGTGGAATAATAGGGCGCTGAGGCGGTTTTTGAGGGCCACGATTAGGTCTTTTGTCGAGTCGTTCACCGTCAGCATTTCGCCCGAGCAGCGCAAGGCTGAGTAGAATAAAGCCTACGAGTCGAAATAAAATGATTTATAGACCAAATCCAGTACTCAGATTATTTTTTTTCTGATATATTTTATCATCCAAACACATCCTAGGAGCTCGTTCTCACATGCACGCACAAACAGTTTTTTCCACATTTGTCTCTAGAAATAGAAAATCTTGCAATGATGTCAGGCAAGCAAACTATTCGAAAAATGTGAAAGAACACATGCAAAAGTATGTAAATACACACGCACAACAGACTTCTGCAGATGGAATTTACATATTTTCCCAATATGCTTAGCGAAAAAAATATTAGTCAACTCCTAGCTGCATGAGGTTATTCAATTTGAATCCTCTGAACATAGATAGATCCGGACTTCAATGTGGAGGTGGGGGCCAATTAGTTAAGGGATCAAAATAATTGTTAACCATAGAGCGAAAAAAAGAGAGAAAAAAAAAAAAAATAGAGTGAGAATTGAAGTGATGTTCATCGTTAGCATGAGAATTATACTAGATGTAAGTCACAACGAGGAGAATTAAAGTGGCTCTAGGTTGGTCATGAAAGCAAAACGACTGCTGATTTTTTTGTTTTGTTTTTTTACCATTTCGGGTTATTTGGAATTTGGTTTTGAAGCGGACTCGAATTGCTGACAAAGAAAGAAGGTAAATAAAAGGGAAATAGTCACTATATGCACCAAGTCATTAAGATATAACAAAAAACAGAAGAAGGAAATGGAAACTGCCCCCAACTGTAGCATTCAATATTCGAGTCTACCATCAAGTAATCATATAAAAAGATACGAAAAATTCATATATAGCCTCTGCTAACAATCACGAGGCACATGGCAACAGACATTACATTTCAAGTTGCAAAGTTCGTATCTTAGCATTGGATTTTTTTCACTCACTTGAATCTCGAGAGGGTGTCCGTGGATTCCCATCCTACGGTCGATCATGCAAGAACCATCAGTGACGAGCAGAGTAGGAAACATGTCAAACCCATCAGTTAGGCATAAATTTAGTATCAATCGAATCCCGGTCTGCACGTCCACTCTCTCTTGCAAACTGTAGTCACCGGTGATTTTCCCATAGGCTCTCAATAAAATAATCCACCACAACCCTGTCCAAAAGTCGTGAAAAAAAAAAAAATGGTATAAGAAACTCATTGACAATTTATTATGTTTAGCGTCATTTGAGTATACAACCCTTTTTGAACTGCAACGGACTCTACCTGAATCAACGGGCGCTACTCGTCCAATAGCTGCTTCGCCAAAATCCGGATCTGAAAAATCTTCAAATTCCAAATCTCGCCCTTCGAGGGGCATGCTTCTAATCTTGAAACTTGCCGGCATTAATCCTTGCCCGGGGCTATAGCAATCCACAGTCTTTTCCCAACTCTAATTTCAAGAACGCAAAAAGTTAAGTTAGATTTTCTACACATAATGCAAAACACACAAATAATAATGATTAGAAAAAAAAAATGATAACACGAATAGTCACCTGTAGCTGTAGAGTATGGAGCAAAAAGTTCTTCACTATTTCACCCTCTCCATTGAGCAAGAAGGCAAGAGCCGATGGAACAAAATCGCGAATAAAGACTTGATCATAATTTAACGGTTGCTTATCAGCTGGATCATTAGCAGCCACAGTCCCCACAGGGTTCCCACAATAGTTAACAACAGCCGTTCGAAGCAAATCCCATGCCTCTTTCTCAATCTCCGACAACACATGTTTCCCAATAGCCGACCTCGAAATACCACTCTCTCTTTTCAACTGATGGATACTTGCATATGAACCATCATCTCCATTCACATTATACTTATTTTCTTTCCTTTCATCTTTTCCAACCGAGTCCTTTCGGGTGACGTCTTCCCTCTCGGTGATCAAGGGCTTCACACTGAAACCACCTTGTATGTATATCTTCTCAAAGCTATTCCCATTTACACGGGACTCAACAGAATTCGAATGGCCCCTTATGTTAGATCCTACATTTGCTATTACATTTCTAAATTTACAGTTCTTCCCAATCCCATCAGCATGGAAAACCCCAGATCGAACCCAATTTGAACCGGAGCTACAAAAAAACCTCCGGTTCGGGTCTACGACACTCCTAAATCCTAACACATTGTGTCGATTTACACAATCTGCTTCTGTTGCACGGTACGAATTCATTTGTGATATCGACGAATTAATGTTGGTGAAATGACCAAATTTCACAAGTGGGCATCCAAAAAAAGATGAATTTCTGCCCAAAATCAGTACACTACAACAGGGCCTCACACTGGAAATTCCAAAACAGCTCCCAGTGTTCATTTTCAAAATGCAGTCAAAGAAATTGAAAATCTTTAACCAGCCCTCAAACAAGACTCAACCAAACTAAAGAAAAGGTTGATTCTTTATTCTAAAAATCAGTTCTTTGAGCTGATTTATGCCCAAGATTTGATTTTTATACCTCCCAATATGCTTTAATATGATATTGAGCTCTTAAAAATGGAAATCTAAAGAGTATGAAAAAAAAAATTAAAAATGTTATGAATGTTTAAGAATATATATATATATATATATATATACAGCCCAGCTTCTGTTAATTAAAAATAAAAATAAAAATGGAACTAACAGATGCTGATCAAGTAAATATGTGATAAAATGAAAAATTTTAATGAAAGATGTAAGAAATCAAACAAGAAGAGAAGTGACTTACAATGTATGCTCTGCGAGAGAAAAATGACTTGTGAATAGTTGAGGAAAATGGGTGCTGAACTTGGGCAGGTTAGAGGGGATTATATAGGTACAGAATGTGGGAAGGTTCAATGAATTGATGCGTATGGTACAAGCATGAAAAAGCACAAGTGGATGGAAGTGTTGAAATTCCATATTTGGCCTCCCACGTGTATTTTTATTTATTTCTGCAATTTTGTGTTTTCCTCATACTTATTATTACTTGGACGTACCTGGTGTGATACACGGAACAAAAATATTAAATGAGTTATTTTCACAGCTTTGTCCGTTTAAGTCTAAAAAGTAATAATGTTATTATCTATTTTCTACTTCTTTTAATCAAGGGTAAGTCTAAAAAATTATTAAGCCGCCATCTGGCAAATATGTATGGAGTTATGTGTTCGTGTCTCATAAGTCACAAACATTATGAATAACATTACAAATTATCCATTCAAACTTTTATTCATTGCAAATATATTAAATAGTTTATATAACAACCATTAAATGTCATTTTCAATATATTTATAAATAAAAAGTACATAAAATTTCTGGTGTGTTCAAATTTATATAATTTTTATGGGCTCAATTTTAAATTATCTAGACCTTTGGTCAAGCGCATAGGTGTGTTCAAATTTAAATCATTGGCATTTTGGTCGGTGAAATTTAAATCATCTACCATGATACTGTGATGTGTATTATATATATACAATTTTTTAACAAATAATATGTGCTTTATAAAAATAATAATAATAATTTCACAAGATTTTAAATGTAAAATTTGGTTTTTAATCACAATAGAAAAATCATGGTAAGTTGTATTGAGAATGTATTATGAGATAAAATAATTAACTAAAATAATTAAATAAAATACTTGATGGAAATAGAATAAATTAATTATTTTGACTTTTCTTACTACTAATTCTAGTAAATAAAATAACTTTTTATATAAGTATAGATTTAATTAATAATAAACTCTTGGATTTTTTTATTCATGATAGACTATGGATGACTCTATTCAAATATAAGCCCTTTCTACGTTTGCTTTGTTGAAATATCAAAGAAAATTTATTACTTTTCTTCTTTCCAAATGCATAGACACGCTTGTGAGGGAAAAATGCATTATCACACATATATAATAGATTTATTAAATAAGTCGAGTCGAGCCGTTAACAATTTATTTATATAAATTTTGGTGAATTATACATAAAATATCAGAGTCGAATTTGTTATTGGATAACCACATTATTTTTGCAAACATCTCATTTAAAGTTTTATATTAATTAAACGAATCGAATCAAATTGAAGCATCAGGTTGAATGTGTATTTAACTTGGGTCGAGTTGAATGACACCCAAGATATTATTAAAAAAAAATATATATATTCCATGAAATGTTCAGCACCACTAAATTGAACTAGGTGAAAATCCAAAAATATACAAAAGTGAAAGACTAAATTGTCATACAACATTTGTTCAAACGGGATCAGTATATGTCGGTTATGACGTGTTATAATTAAAAATGTACGAGAATCGAGATAACGGCGGATCCAGGACATTTATGTAATGGGGGCCCATGATACTATGACCCTAATCCTTTCCCACAATTCACCATCTCGGGCCTCCTCTGGCATGAATGGTTCTTTAGCATCTTCAGTATTGTTCTTTAGCATCTTCTTTCTTCCCCCAATTCACCATCTCGGGCCTCATTTGACATGAATTGTTCTTTAGCATCTTCAGTATTGTTCTTTAGCATCTTCAATTTGTTGGGGACCTGTAACCCTAACAAACTAGGCTGGATCCGCTATTGAATCGAGACTGTCTTTTTTCCTTTATGATAAATGTGGCATATGTGGACAACCAAATAGCATTAGATGGGCCAACAAGAAGCTTTTAGTTCCAATTGTAAGTACATTGTATTTTAACATTTGGCCCATTAGAGCCAGCTTGTATATTGTAAAGCCCAAATTTAGTTGTATTCTTGTTTCTGGCCGGTTTAGTAGGGTGGCCCAACAAAATTGACAAAGGGTTGTAGTTTATTTTGTTAGCTTATAAGCTCTATATATTCAAATAAGTCTCATTTGGTAGGACGAGCTTTTTTTAATAAGCTCGAGCTTATTTGATAAGCTTCCTTAGGTAGTTTTTCAAATTAGCTAGTTGAATTTTTTATTTCAGCTAGCTTATCAACTAATTTTTACCAAACACTTTTATTATATAAGCTAGCTTATCAGCTATAAGTCATAAGTTATAAGTTATAAACTAAAAAATTACTAATAAGCTATAAACTAGCTTATCAGCTAATTTTACTAAACATAGTCGTAACGACCAATATATTATGACTAAATAAGACCTAATTCTGCAAAAAATTGTGCTTCAAAAATGTTCTCCAATAGGAGAAAAATGTCAAATTATAATCATTTTTCAATCACCAATCATTGCTTTAATCAAGGGCCCATGAGGTTGGGGCCCATGAGTATACTGTATATACATGTATAGTAGATGTATTGTCCAATTCAAGTAATAATTAATTTAACATCTAAGTCCAATAACATCAACAGAATCAATTGAAGAGGATATTTTAGATAAAATTGATCTTGATGTTGTTCTTGAAGATTTTGCATTAAGAAATGCTCGAAGACAGATTTTAAAAAGAACTGCAGCATAGCTTATTTGAGGTATCTAAAATTTTACTATTGTTTTACTTTCTTAAATGTACTGCTTTTTTTATTGGCTAAATATACATTGCAAGTTATCTCTTATAAATAGTACTATATACTCCAATTGTTATATTTAATTTTTAATTAGATTGTCGGGCCCTTAGTGTCTTGCTTGCTCAAAGACCCTCGAAATTATTGAGACGACCTTGCCTACAATATATTTGGAAAGGTCTCAACGGAAAAATCTTTAATACTCAAATCAGTACTCGTTCGTGAGAAAGTATGTAAATTGTAGGCCATGTACGTGAATAGGCCTTAATCATCAAATAGAACCCACATGTAGCAGTTTTGGTCCATCGAATTTTTTATTTAACGAATTTTCTAATTCGTGTATCTATTTGTTTTTGTAAAACCAAAACAACACAAAAACGAAAAATTTGAGTTGACAGTAAAATTAGCTTCGTTTGGAAAAAAAAAAAAA